TAAAAAAACAACCGAAACAAGACCCATCTCCAAGGATTCATCAATAGGTCAACTGAAACAGAAGCCAGAAGCCCTCTAAGCAAAGGGTGTTTTGCTGTTAAACACATCAGCCTGGCTGAGCAGAGTCGTGAGACATGCTGGCAGCAGCTCCATGATGCACCTCCCCAGCTCACCCGGAAGACTCGGTCGAGGGAGAGTTTGCCAAGTTCAGATCTCATGGTGGTCTGGGCCAGCTGCGTCACTGCGTACTCAGGATCTTCCACCCCATAGCTGGCCTGGAGAGCAGAAGCACAAATCAGAGTCGACAGGAGTACCGACAGGGACCCAAAATGAGGCAGGATGGATAAACATACTGCTAAGGCAAGAAACTTGCCGGACACCCGGGCCGAAGGAATATGGAACCCAGAGCCTTGGGAGGGCTCAGTGCACCCAGCCCACCTGCTGAGCAGGGTGCAGGGGCTGGAGTTTCGGGGAGACAGGAGCAGGCAGAGCCAGGTGAGTGGTGCCCAAGGGGCAGGGACAGTACCTTGTAGGGGTCCATAACCCGGAGGTAGAGCACACCATCAATCTGCAGGGTGACATTATCTGCCGGGAGAGAACAACAACTCCTGTTAACTGAAGCAGCAGAGACAAAAAAAAGCTCCTCACCTGCAGAGCTGGGCAGGGTTGTCCCTTTCCTTCTTGGCACTAGCAGCATGGCATAGAAGAGGGATTGCGTGAAACATATCTCCTTAACTGAAAAGCTTTGTAAAAAGGTCTTTGAAAAAGAACCTAGGAAACACCATGAAGTTTTAATACACAAGTCTCAGGTTTCCAGATAAAAATTTCATACTGTAGTTCTTGCAAATGAAGATTTAAAGGCAAAAAAAATCCAAAGCAAAAGAATGTTTAAAACTAGAAATGTAACAGAGCTGCCCTTTAACATTAGATCCATTAACCTGATCACAAATAACAGAAGCATAGAATCTTCAAAATTGTAAGAGACCTCTGAGATCATCAAGTCCA